GGGGGGGGGGGGGGAGTGTGTTGGGAGTGTGTGTGTGTGTTGGGGGGAGGGGGAGGGTGTTAAAGTTGGTGAATGAACTGAGAGCTAATTTAATGATACTGAGACTGGAGTTCCCAAGTCATAAAGTGGCTCTTTGGTTTAATACTTGCAGCTCTTAGCAAAAAATACTATCAAGGTTATGATGAAGGATATGGCTTCCCCCCACGCCCTCCCCATCACTGTATACTGGATAGCTGTTTCTTGCTGTCTTCAGTCATGCAACACATTCATTATCTGTCTGTCGGCCCATCAGTTGCAGTACAAGTTCTGTAGAGTTTTTTTTACTTTTGACCTTGTGTGTATTCCACAAGTCACTGAGGCATATATATGTTGTTGTTGCTGTTTAACACTGACTGCTCATGTGAATTTTGTGCTAGTCAGCACCAAGGATTACTAATTAAAGTGTGCCCTGCACATGGTGTGCATAGGACTTAATTTCCCATATGTCCATTTGGATGAGTAAGAACATAGAATGGTTTGACTTCACCTCTTTGACCATAAACAAGAGTAGGACATTTAAAAGAGAGTTAAAGTAACCTTTTTATTATAGATATGTTTGTTTGACTGGCTTAGATCAAAAATTTGTTCTTCTATAATTATAATCTGTTATGCTTGTTCTTTCTAAGGAAATTATTGACAATCCTGTTTTGGCCTGAACAGCCAGAACAGCTTATCCACTATTTGAGATGCAAGTTAAATACAGTAGAACCTGGATTGGATGAATCAGAAGGTTCACAATACATTAAAGAAGCTGCACAAGCATTAGTAGCTTTTACTTCAAAGGGTACCTCTTTACTCAGTAGGACCACTTCAGGAGTCCTGTATAGTTGTTGGGTGTAGCTGTATGTAAACTCCTGGCTGTTCTGCAAATTCTTATCTTTGCAGGGAGCTCAGGAACCTAAACCCACAAACCATCCAGGTTTTACTGTACTGATTTATATCTACAAGAAAAGATGAACCATGGCCATATCCACATAAAGAGGTTTGGCTACACAGGGGCACTTCTTCTCATGTCCTTGTCATAAAATAGATGTTTTTTTCCAGAATTGTGTACAAGTGATGGCTCTTTCTGTTGATGCAGCGAAGTTCTCCTTTGTACAGATCTCATCAAGGAGTTGGCACATGTGCAGGTGCTTCACAAGGTCACTGAACTTGATACAAACTTGACTGCTTTTCTAGCGTATGGAGGATGTAGAACTCAGACACTTCTACCTCAGTTCCAAAATAAGGAGCAAAATGGAGCCTGTATTTTCAATCCATATTGTGTTTGTACTTCACTAATGGCCAGTGCATTCTAGTCCTCTGTTAGTGTGCTTTGTGGAGATGAGAAATGTCTGTCTTCCTTATTCCCCCAGATTAACCAGGAGTATAGGAACAGATAGAATGAAGATTGTCATTCCTGTATGCCAGCACCTATGTCCCAAGAGGAGAGTCCAGGGTTCTGAAACAAGCACCCTTTCTAAAGCATATAGTTCCTTTTCAGTGTTGTTCTGGAGCAGCACTGTTGCATGCTAAACCTAAAGGCTTGGTTTGGTGCTGATGCTTTACTGGCTACAGGATGGGTAGTAAAACTCTCTACTATTTTGTTATGCATCTGTGAGGAGTTAAACTTCAGAGAGATTTTTTCTTTTAACAGGGCACAGAAAAGGCACTGGTAAGACTACATGAAGAGTTTCCTGATCTCCAAGTTTTAGCTGTTAGTGGTAACTATTGTACAGATAAAAAGCCTGCTGCCATAAACTGGATAGAGGGAAGAGGGAAATCCGTTGTCTGTGAAGCAGTTATTCCTGCCAAGGTTGTCAGAGAAGTAAGTACCTTACTTTTACTTATTTCATAAAAAGCATTTTTTAAACTAATTGTTTTAGCTCATTTTGATTTAAACAGAAAAAAGAATGAATGAACCATGAAACAGATTTGTAAATTGCATGCATCACAGCTCACTTTGCTTTTACATCAGTATTGTAAGTGGTGAGAGTCTCCAAAAGCAAGGCGAAGAAACATCTCACAGTCTGATAGATCTCACACTTAAGAAGTTTGTACTGTTTAATCCAGTTATCTAAATTTCATCATTTCATTTTGCAGTAATCATTTTCCATTTTTAGTGTTTACATTTCTGTAGTGCTTTGAAAAGAGGTATCAAATTGCTTCCCTCAGTTCAGAAAACACAACTTGATTCAATTTATACAGTTACCAATTAAAGTTCATTTGTAAAACTCATTTCTTAATAAAATTTTTCAAACTAATATTTCATGGTAAATATGTGCTAAACTGTAGCTGCAGGCCTACACTCTGCTGCACTCCTGAGCACAAAATTGGAAATTCTCTAAGAGCTTCAGATAAAATTGGAGGGTTTTTTGTCTTTATTTAAATTTAAAAATAAAAATGAGTCCTCAGTCACTAAAGTATTTGTTGTGACTTGATATTTAAATATCAGATTATCTACTGCTTTTGAATATATGATTTTTTCAGGGTATGACAGAATTTTGTATTTCAAATATATAACATAGTTATAAAAATTAAAAGGAAGCTGAAGGTTTTGGTATATGATGAGGGTGACTTAAGATGTTTGCTAGCTGTGTTAGAAGCAGTCTGAAACTCATAGCTTGTTAATGTGATGTTTCTGCCAAATCATGTTTGTTGCTGTTCTTGTTGACATACATGTTACCTATGTTTGGACTATCGGTAGACTGTGGCAGGCATTGCTGCAGTGGTTTGCATGCTATTCTTATTGGAAATCTTCCTTAGCAGCTGCAATGGCTCCTTTCTTAAATGAATGACTAATTTATTTATTTATTTTTTATGCAAATTTCACTCCCATGGAATTAGCCTAAAGGGGGCTCTACTAGGATACAATAGGGGATTATTACTGCCCTCTAATTAGAAGTACAATAAAAGCTTATGCTTTTGTCCAGGTATTGAAGACTACTACAGAAGCTATGATTGAAGTTAATATTAACAAGAACTTGGTGGGCTCTGCAATGGCTGGTAGCATAGGTGGCTACAATGCTCATGCAGCAAACATTGTTACAGCCATCTACATTGCTTGTGGGCAGGTAAGTTCTTTGAATTGACTATATTAACTAAGTATATTCACTTTTTAAATATGACTGACTAGCTTCACAACATTTAGAACTTACCTAGAAGTTCTCTTCTCTTTTTTTTTTTTATATTAATGTAAGGATGCAGCACAGAACGTGGGCAGCTCAAACTGCATCACTTTGATGGAGCTAACTGGTCCCACTAATGAAGATCTGTATATCAGCTGCACAATGCCTTCTATAGAAATTGGAACTATTGGTGGAGGGACCAACTTACTACCACAGCAAGCTTGTTTGCAGGTACAGAACATGAAAGGAAATTGTTGTCCTTTTTTTATACTAACTTCTCCCAATTCTGTTGTACAGAGTGTGCCTCAGTAATGTCTCTTTCAAAGTTGTAGACATAAGGGGATAAGGGTCTTTACATGTCCAGGCTGGGGGTGGAGAGGCGCTTTAATTATAGTGACTCTCAGGAGGTGCTCTAACTAAATTGCCTGCAACATCTTGTGTATTCAGTGTCCCACATACAAAAATGATGGCAGAGGTGCTTTAACTAATGTTCATTTGACAAGTGTTAATTAGTGTCCCTGCCTCCATTTTGAAGTGCAGGGATGCTGAATACATGAGATACCGAGGCTGCTGTAGCATGCTAATTAGCATGCTCTAGCAGACTCAGTTAATCGAGTCTGCTCATGTCAGAGTAGGCATCCCGCATGTCTACAGGCACCCAAGATGTTTTGGCCAATCGGTTAATATATATATGCTATTCTAAAACTAAACATTTCTTTTTAGTATCTGAGGGACTTAAAGCTGGTTTGCATGGTGTGATGAATTAAATAGAATATTTTTCTTTCTGAACAGATAGACACACACTGACTGGTGCTTGGATTTTAAAGTGTAACTTTACTATTTTTATCTACAGATGCTAGGGGTTCAGGGGGCAAGCCAAGATAACCCTGGTGAAAATGCACGTCAACTTGCTAAAATTGTGTGTGCCACAGTAATGGCAGGGGAGTTATCATTAATAGCAGCATTGGCAGCAGGGCATCTAGTCAAAAGCCACATGATCCACAATAGGTGAGAAATGCAAAGCTTTGTACCATTCTCTGCATCATTACCTCTTCTCCTCCCAAATAGAGCACAATATATAAAAATTGTATGAGAGAGAATATACCACAGAGCAGTGACTTCAAATGCCTTATTTACTATTTTTGTTAGGTCAAAAATAAATCTACAGGATCTTCAAGGAACCTGCACCAAGAAAGCTGCTTGAATATTGGAAGAGCTGAAGTTAAGCCTTGTTAAACTGATCACGTGTAAAGGAACAATACACAGTATCTAAATTTTGGAAGGAAAATCATCTTCAAGAAAACGATTTCTGTGGAGGATAATTAAAAGGCTCATTAGACTTGTGATCAATGAAACTCATTCTGCCTTTGAACATCTTCAGTGGTTAAAAATGGCTCCTTTTGTGGAGCTATTTCAGATGTTTTGAACATGTCTTTTAGAGGTCTAGGGATTCATCGTATCTTATTCATTGCTTTCCAAAGGGTCAGTCCTGTGTCTTTATGGGTTGAAAATATGTTAACTTGTAAACTAATAACCAAGATGAAAAGTTATGTCAGGTACTTTGTTTTAAAAAAATGATTTGGTTAAAATTGGGTTGTATGTATTTGTCCATGTGATCTTTGTTTTCTGGTTAACAAAGTGGGTTTTAAATATAAAGTGATAGCCTACTTGCTATTGATGAATTCCTAATTTTAATTTTGTTTGTTCTGATTTTGAGCTTAGGTATTAGGCTATGGGATAATTTTACTAAGTCACATTAGTTGGTAAATACGTTACTGTACTTGTATTTCCCTTGCTGCTCTTTGACTTAAGCAGCATTAAAATTATAATTGGGTTGCATTATTTTTCCGTTAAGGAAAGTACTTATTTTACAAAGTACAGAATCATCTGACATTATTCTGTACTGGAATAAAAAAAAAGCATTGTCCTCAACTGTCCAGACATTTTGTTCAGGTATAAATAGTATATCCTGAGTTTTTTCCAAAACTTAACTGATACACCTATAAAAATGATACATCGGGCCATTTTAAAGCTTTGACTGTATTAATACAGTTTGTTACACAGTTTTATAAAATATAAATGGATTTGAGTGAGTGGAGTCAAGAACAGATGTTTACAGTTTTAAAATCTTATCTTTTAAAGTATGGTGTTTTTGCACATGAATGGCTTCTGGTGTTTGACACTTATTCCCCAGGAATAGGTGCATAGCTACTACTTAACTTGAGAAAAAATAAAGCCAGGAAAACCACACTGTTATTTAATATTACAGATGTTTTTATGTTTGATTCTTTTTAAATGTTTTTGTGAAAAAAATATTTATTTTCCAAAAATTCTAAATTGTCTGTCTTATGAAAATGCTTACTATGGAAATCCATTGAAACAATTGAGAAAAGCTAATACATCAAACACAGTTGTACACAAAAGTACTGTATTCGGACCAGTGAGGTAGCTTCAGGTGTTCCTTAAAGTAATGCAGGAAACCCAGGTTCATTTTGGGTTGGTTTGCCACTAGGAAGGCTATGCTACAGAGTTAACCTTGTCAAATCAGTTGGGTCAAGCATACTGTTAATGGGCTTGAACTTTCCTCCTTCGCTGGAAGGATGGTTTTAGCAAGTTGGGTAACATGCGTCTTACTGGCATGCAGAAGTGTTCCAGGGGGATAAGGGAATGTTAGTCTCCTAACATGCACGTCTGGTATAAATCATGAAGTATTAGTTTGTAGTAAATCAGATAATTAATATTAATGTATTGGTTTCATAAAGCTAACGTGCAAGCACAAAGACATACTACATGCTAGGTATGCTGTGGTAGCATGTAAATATCATGGATGTTTATCTTCCTGAAATATTGTTGTTTAATAGTTACCATTTATTTATGCAAAGTTGAAACTGCTTTGTTTCTGTGTTCAGCTAGTGACTTATTATTTAAAGTAACACTGAGCTGGCAATAAGTGGCTGGTTCAGTGTTCATTTTGGTGAATATAACTGACATTCTGTCTTGCAGAAATAACATTTTGTACTATTACTAAATTGTGTACATTTTGGTACAGAATCCTTTTTCAGTTTCAGTAAAACAATGGAAAAGCATATTGGCTTAATTGTGATATTTAAAGTATGATATTCATCACTAAGTCATGAATTATACAGATGAAGTAAGAAAAATAGAAATGTTAACAAAAGGATTAGTTGCACAGTATAATAACTTCTTGCCTTACACAGCAGAAGCCCCTACACGTTTCTGAGATTCTTTCAAGTATTTTAGTAGTATCAAAAAACTATTTCTTAAAAAAGAAAACTGCTGGTGGAGTTGGAGAAGATGCTCCACTTCAGCAAATCACTTGAGCATAGCAGTATCTATTGAGACCTGACTTGACGCTTGACTCCCAGAAAAGAAGTGGGGGGAGGGGGGGTTATGGAAAACTTGGTCATAATTATCTGGAGCAGAATTTTTTTTCTGAATGTTGTATGACCTTGTGACTACACACAGTTGTACTTCTGAACAGTCTTCTGATCCATTTGCTCTGAATCCTTTGCTGTTTTGGTCTGGGAATTCTAAATGTTATTGCATTTACTCAGTGATAACTAGGGCATCAAAATATACTAAGTCAGTTGCTCTACAATTCCAGTTTTTGTAATGCCAAGATTATTTGGGAAGAGGATGGAAAACTCTAAACAAAAGTTTTAGACTAAGAGTTAAGATTCTAAGTAAAGAGACATGTGTTAGGACAGCATAAAGTATAATTATTTAAGTTAGAAATGTGAAAGTTCAAAACTACTTTTTAAAGTTGAAATTTAGGAGTTTTAGCTGTGACACCACTAAATATAGTCCAGAAGCACTTTAAATCTGGGCTTCAACCCACAATCCCTGTCTTTCACTAAGGCTAGTAACTGAGATTGCACATAAGCTGACTTAAGTGATCAGAAACTGGTTTAAACCTGTAACAGATGTTCAGTGCACATAAACCAGTTTGAAAATGGATTAAAGTGGTTTGAGATGTACCTGGCTGAATGTAGTATCAGACTTAACTGATTTGGGTCAAACCGGTTTATGCAATGTCTGTCTCAGACCCCTTCTTGGCTTAAGTTAAATCTGAGTCCCCCAGCATGCTCTCTGGGCTGGGCAGTGCACCCTTCCCCTCTGCTCCCTGGCTGCAGCTCAGGCAGAGACTGCATGTATAAAGGGGTCTGCCTGGCTTCCTCCTACTCCCCCACCTTTGTCATTACTCTGCTCAAGCAGGGCTTCCCCCTCCCCTCTGCCTTACACAGATACCTCTCAGCATTAGCTAGCATATTACATGCTGGCTACAGTCCATGCTGTGGGAAACAGGACAAAGGTAGATAAAACAGTGTTGGCTTAGGGCTTGTTGGAGCTAACCAACAGGTAGCTGATAATGTCCCTCCATTTCTTCTTTGGAAAAAGCTGTTTAAGAAGAACGTGAAGTAATGGAGAAAGGCTTTGTTCTGTTTGATGGGGTAATAAATGGTAACAATTCCCTGTGTAACTCTGTGCTGTATAACTCAATGCTTTGTTATCAACTCCCTGCTGGCTCCCTCACTGGTCAGGAGGAGGGGCAGGAACCCTTCCCTAATCAGAGCATCCAACCGGAGCCTGGCCATGTCCCCCCTCAGCTCAGCACTGTGCTTTAGCATTCCCCATGTGCCTGCATTTCTGGAATGAAAAGAGAATGTCTATCCACCTCCAAATTGGTTCAAGCTTTGCAAGTTAAACTAACCTGCAAAGATTGACTCAATTCAGGCTCAGGCTTTTTGAATGTCTGTCTGTAGCCCAAGAGACCCAGAAACTTAATCTTGTAAAATTAAATGTCAATTATTTCCCTTCCAAACATGTATCTTTCCATTTTTAAAGCTAGAGATCCTATCTTCCCCTGTGGTTAAAGCCCCAGGTCACAATTCTATTTTATAACGATGTGGTCTATGCAATGCCTATCCATTCTTCCCCTAGGGATTCAATACCTGTCAACTTCTACACTACATCCTTTAAACCACAGCTGTATAAATGGCACAGACCATGTTTGGTTCCCTGAAACCAAGTTTAACATACATTTGATTCAGGGATTCTCAGTTAGGGTGCCATAGCACTCTGGGGTGTTGCAAGATCCTTTGAAGGGTGCCACAAGATGTGAGGTTAGCAGAAAAGTTCAGGCTTGAGCTTGTCCCTGCCTGGCCACTTCTCCCACCCCTACTGCCCAGCCTCTACAAGGAGGCAAGCAATGTAAATTAATTACTTTTTGAAAGGAGGTCTCAATTTTCAAACATTATGGGGGGCTGACTTGAGTCTAAAAAAGTTGAGAACTGCTGCATTAATCATTAAGTCCATTGTAAGAGACCAAGCTTATCTGTAGTCACCCTAGGCACAAACTAGCCATCTTACACAGACCTAAAGCATTTGCAACTGGATGGATGGAGTCAGCTGCTCAGAGCTCCAAGCAGTCTAATCATTGTCTGATGGTAAAGGATATCATTTCAAGCCTGTTAGCCCGTATCTATTAAAACCCCATTGTCAACAGTGTCCATATCCAACCCCGGTTCCCTGGAACTAGTTTGTCTCTTTAGAATGGATCCTACCTCTCTCTTTCTCCTGCACTAGTCATGGGCCCAAACTTGGGAGAGGTTAACCCTTGGAAAGCTTCAGTTGTACAGCTACACCAGCAAAGCTGTCATAGTTTCATAGTTTCATAGATTTAGGGTCGGAA